CATGGGCCAGTCCTGGAGTCTGGGGAAAGGTCTGATGAGGGCTTTGCTTAAAGCCAGAAGGGTGGTGAGGGTCCGAATCTCCACGGGGAGATTGTTCCAAAGGGCCGGAGCAGCCACAGAGAAGGCCCTCCCCCGAGGGGTCGACAGTCAACATTGGCTAGCTGATGGTATCCGGAGGAGGCCTAATCTGTGGGATCTAATTGGTCGTAGGGAGGTGGTGCTGTGAGATCTAAATATGCACAATCTTCCTTCCTCTTGCATGGAAATGGTGCAGCGTTTATGCAGTCTGCCTTCTTTACTGAATCTACAGGTAGTCCTCGACTTATGACTGATTGCTTAGCCACTGCTTGAAGTTACAATGGAAGAAGGGAATTATGACCCAGATTTGAAGTTACAGTGGCCATTCTCCCAGTCTGCTATCATGTAACCACATTTTGGCCATTGGGCAACTGGTCTGCATTTACTGTAGTTTGCAGCATCGTGCGGTTATGTGACCATAATGTTTTTTCCAGAAAAGGAAGGGGAGGGGGAGGAATGCCCCACAGCAAACAATGGCTTCGCTTAGAGACTGTGGTGTTCGCTTTACGACCGCAGCGTTCTGTAAGGACCTGCCTTAACTAGTTCCTCAGGAAAGTAAGACTCTTGAATCCGTTCGGTTGAATCAAGAGAACTTTTACTGAGCGAGAAAAGTGATTGCAGGAAAGCAAGGCGGGATCTGAAGAGGCCTGCGTGAAGCATACAGCATTCTTTCGTTTCCCCAAACCCCCTGATCAGTCCACCAACAGCCAATGTGATACCACAAGATAGTTATGGAAACTGAAGGGCTAGGCAAATAACAGATCATCCTCAGGACATGATGGCCTACAAGTCAAGCTGGGACCAGTCAAGAAGGAATCCACTCCATCTCCAAAGACAGTTTCCTCCCCACATCCCTAATTCCCAAGCAGTTATACAGTCAAAGCAAAACCATGCCAGTGCTCCTCCTCCCACCTTCCAACAGAATTGGCAGGACAGGATGGGGGACCTGACCCATTCGCTTTATGACAGATGCAAAAAAAAATCATAAATGTGGTCACGGGATGATCTGCTTAACAACCATCCTAACTTACAAGAGCGATTACAGGCACAATTACAGTAGTAAGTCGATGAGTAACTGTACACAACAGTCCTGTGAAATGGTGTACTTGCCCCAGCTGCTAACAGTTTGAAAGCATGCAAATGCAATTAGGTAAATAGGCACTGTTCTGACCTAGGCTTCCCCAGCAGCACGAAGCCGGGTCCTCGTCCCGATAAACCTCTTTGATTTAATTGACAGTGAATTCCTCTCCAGCAAAATCTTTCCTCTCCCACCGTCTTTCAAGATAGTTCACAATTACTGACCTTTATCAGGCTTGGAGAGTGGCCAGGCCCATATCTTTCAG